TCTCAGCTACATGCAGGTGGTTGACAGTGTTCCATCACACCGAGGGAAGACATGTTTGTCCTGATACCTTATGGTATCACCTTCTCAGCTACATGCAGGTGGTCGACAGTGTTCCATCACACAGAGGGAAGACGTGTTTGTCATGATACCTTATGGTATCACCTTCTCAGCTACATGCAGGTGGTCGACAGTGTTCCATCACACAGAGGGAAGACGTGTTTGTCCTGATACCTTATGGTATCACCTTCTCAGCTACATGCAGGTGGTCGACAGTGTTCCATCACACAGAGGGAAGACATGTTTGTCCTGATACCTTATGGTATCACCTTCTCAGCTACATGCAGATGGTCGACAGTGTTCCATCACACAGAGGGAAGACACGTTTGTCCTGATACCTTATGGTATCACCTTCTCAGCTACATGCAGGTGGTCGACAGTGTTCCATCACACAGAGGGAAGACATGTTTGTCCTGATACCTTATGGTATCACCTTCTCAGCTACATGCAGGTGGTCGACAGTGTTCCATCACACAGAGGGAAGACACGTTTGTCCTGATATCTTATGGTATTACCTTCTCAGCTGCATGCAGGTGGTCGACAGTGTTCCATCACACAGAGGGAAGACATGTTTGTCCTGATACCTTATGGTATCACCTTCTCAGCTACATGCAGGTGGTCGACAGTGTTCCATCACACAGAGGGAAGACATGTTTGTCCTGATACCTTATGGTATCACCTTCTCAGCTACATGCAGGTGGTCGACAGTGTTCCATCACACAGAGGGAAGACGTGTTTGTCCTGATACCTTATGGTATCACCTTCTCAGCTACATGCAGGTGGTCGACAGTGTTCCATCACACAGAGGGAAGACATGTTTGTCCTGATACCTTATGGTATCACCTTCTCAGCTACATGCAGGTGGTTGACAGTGTTCCATCACACCGAGGGAAGACATGTTTGTCCTGATACCTTATGGTATCACCTTCTCAGCTACATGCAGGTGGTCGACAGTGTTCCATCACACAGAGGGAAGACATGTTTGTCCTGATACCTTATGGTATCACCTTCTCAGCTACATGCAGGTGGTCGACAGTGTTCCATCACACAGAGGGAAGACATGTTTGTCCTGATACCTTATGGTATCACCTTCTCAGCTACATGCAGGTGGTCGACAGTGTTCCGTCACACAGAGGGAAGACATGTTTGTCCTGATACCTTATGGTATCACCTTCTCAGCTACATGCAGGTGGTCGACAGTGTTCCATCACACAGAGGGAAGACGTGTTTGTCCTGATACCTTATGGTATCACCTTCTCAGCTACATGCAGGTGGTTGACAGTGTTCCATCACACAGAGGGAAGACATGTTTGTCCTGATACCTTATGGTATCACCTTCTCAGCTACATGCAGGTGGTCGACAGTGTTCCATCACACAGAGGGAAGACGTGTTTGTCCTGATACCTTATGGTATCACCTTCTCAGCTACATGCAGGTGGTCGACAGTGTTCCATCACACAGAGGGAAGACATGTTTGTCCTGATACCTTATGGTATCACCTTCTCAGCTACATGCAGATGGTCGACAGTGTTCCATCACACAGAGGGAAGACACGTTTGTCCTGATACCTTATGGTATCACCTTCTCAGCTACATGCAGATGGTCGACAGTGTTCCATCACACCGAGGGAAGACATGTTTGTCCTGATACCTTATGGTATCACCTTCTCAGCTACATGCAGGTGGTTGACAGTGTTCCGTCACACAGAGGGAAGACATGTTTGCACTGATTGCAGCAAGACGTCGTCACTTCGTGACTGCCACCACACTCCGGCCAGTGGCGTTAACGGAGGGCATGCATTCTATTCCCACTGACCCGTTACACAGACAGGCACGTTTGCTTTGGGCTGAAGATAACGTCATTTGGACAGACCAGGACTGGGCTCCACTAATTTTCCCTAATGAATTATACAGCATAGACTTCACATATCGTCGTACACGAGTGTGGCGTGGATAAGGAGACGGGTTTCTGGATTACAACGCAGCCGAATATGACCGCTATTGAAGGGTCTCAATCAAAATTTGGGGTGGGATCAGTAGAGGTTGAAGAACCGACCCCCATGCCCTACAGCGGTGCACGAGCTGTTGGCTATAGTGATGACATTCTGGATGTAAACGTGAGGCCGTACGCTGGTCCAATGGGACCAGACTTGGAGCAGGAGACCATTGTGGAGTGACCAGACCGGTCACCAGACCCCAACCCACCCTGTCGGGCACATGAGCAGCCACCTTCATATCGCCCACTAACGACGCCCGGTCCTTCCGGCTACTGTACAGGAGTATTATACTAACCACTTCCTTCTATTTAACACGTTTTACTACATACCTCTACCTAAAATATAGTAGCCTGTCACATCTGCATAAATGCGTTCTTGAAACATTATCCGTTCCTGGTACTGGAACCCGCACAGTACATAATAGTGTATGTAATGAATTATGTTTTTACCGCCAACCAGCTGTCAGAAGTCAACGTGCACACGATGTGTCAAACACAGTTACAGACCTAATGTTGTTGATCTAGTGTCAGGTAATACTGATCGTATGTCCCACACACACACACACACGCACACACTCACACACACACACACACACTCACTCACACACACAGGCTCCTAACACCATCAGAGTTCAGATAAATATGCTGACGTCACACGTACAGCTGAAGTGATAACAATCGCTGACGTCAGTAACGTTGTGCCTCATCAACATCTCCGTGACGTTGCCTGTAGAAAGATAAAAGCCAGCTTCCTTTGAACAGTAGTACTCTCTCTCTCTCTCTCTCTCTCTCTCTCTCTCTCTCTCTCTCTCTCTGCCTGAACATGTGGAAGCAAGGCCGTCTATATATACTAATCCTTGCTTGGAGAGCATGCATTCACTACAGTGAGTTTTTACTGATATTGCATTATCAGATACATATGTTATCCCTTGGATTTACAACACTATTTTCAGTATCACCAATGTATGGGCAGAGTGGCGTTGTGTTTAAAGCGCTCGTCGGTCATGCTTCACCTTCAGTTACTATTTCCCGCATGGGTACAGTTTGTGAAGTCAGTTCCTTGTGTTTTCCGTCTGTGACTTAACATGAAATATCATCGTGTAAAACCCCACTTACTCATTTCAGGCGTGTTTTCGGCGGATATCCCGTGTTTGGGAGGAGTGACCCTGCTTGGTACACAATCCACTATTGAGGGCGACAGAAGCAGCTTCACTGGCTTTGCGTGGGTACGACCCACTGACGGCCGGTATGTCGTCACATGCAACCCCAGCTGCAGCCCCGTGCCTGGATACAGTGCAGACACAAATGCTACACACAGTACACTGACTATACACAGTGTTGGGGTGGTAGATGCTGGCACATGGAAGATCGTGGATGCAACTGTAGTTGGAGCCGCCTCCATCCCCGTGTGTCAGCTGACGGCGGCGGGTGAGTATGCGTTGTTCTTGGTTTCAGGGCAACGATGCAGCAATGTCGGAGCAGGAGTGGTGAAACCAATGTTTCGAGTGAGCAAGTTTTGCATAAAGCTGTTGTGGACAGAAGTTAAGTTACTTTCATGGCGTGTCAGCTTGATGATGGAACCCGAAGAGTTGCAGGTTTTATATTATTTTTACCGCTTTGATGAAACCCACAAATACAGGTATGGTTCTGACAAACCAAGAAATATGTTCACTGCGAATCTTGGGTTCGAACCCACTATAATAGGCTTCTTGTTTGCCATGCCTCTTATCCAATGCGCCTAAGACGTCGCAATGCGCAGTGCAGTGTTGCGTCTCTTGGCGTGCCAGAAACCATTGATAGTTCGAATACCAGATTAAACCAATGTCACTCTCATTATCATCACATGGTACGTGTGTCACTCTCATTATCATCATATGGTACGTGTGTCACTCTCATTATCATCATATGGTACGTGTGTCACTCTCATTATCATCATATGGTACGTGTGTCACTCTCATTATCATCACATGGTACGTGTGTCACTCTCATTATCATCACATGGTACGTGTGTCACTCTCATTATCATCATATGGTACGTGTGTCACTCTCATTATCATCATATGGTACGTGTGTCACTCTCATTATCATCATATGGTACGTGTGTCACTCTCATTATCATCATATGGTACGTGTGTCACTCTTATTATCATCATATGGTACGTGTGTCACTCTCATTATCATCATATGGTACGTGTGTCACTCTCATTATCATCATATGGTACGTGTGTCACTCTCATTATCATCATATGGTACGTGTGTCACTCTCATTATCATCATATGGTACGTGTGTCACTCTCATTATCATCATATGGTACGTGTGTCACTCTCATTATCATCACATGGTACGTGTGTTACTCTCATTATCATCATATGGTACGTGTGTCACTCTCATTATCATCATATGGTACGTATGTCACTCTCATTATCATCACATGGTACGTGTGTCACTCTCATTATCATCATATGGTACGTGTGTCACTCTCATTATCATCACATGGTACGTGTGTCACTCTCATTATCATCATATGGTACGTGTTCCAAAATATTTCCAAATCAATTACGTAACCGATGCAGTTTAAACATTACTTGAAAAGATTCGAGGAGGATTTATATTAGATTATTATCCACATCACCTCGTCTAAGAAATAGTTGGGAGAGGCTTTGTAGTTTCAGATCAGTGGCTTCCACAAATTGGTCACTATGATGCGCCTCAAATTATGTATAATAATGTGTGGAGTTGGTCCTGCTTAGTAACACATCATACACTGAACACTTTGATGGATTGATGTCCCTCCAATGGCCGCCTCACAGTAAACGTTCACTTGCTATGTCTATAAACTTCATGACACAAACTCGTTGAATCAAGTCTCTTTTCCGTGACTAAACACATGAATTTGTATTTTCGTACATACCCCACCAGCAGTTATCTCCCATGCTTGTATTCACAGAACTCCCCCGGTGCAACGTCAGCAGTGATGCAGACCCAACAGCCCTCCAGCCCAATACAAACCTGACACTGACAGTAGACATCAGAGAGTACTACTGTTCACAGGAAGCTGGCTTTTATCTTACTACAGGCAACGTCACGGAGATGTTGATGAAGCACAACGTCACTGACGTCAACGATGTTATCTCTTCCAGCACCTTCAGTGTGACACCAGCCCGACTCGGTGACGTCACAGTCAGCTATACGTGTGACGTCACAAGGTGGGATCTGAACTGTGATGGCTTGAGGAGCCTAGTAATGGGTGAGTTTGGAATGTATGTGTGTGTGTCATTGGGTGAGTTCGACAGTGTCAGCTGGTGATGGCGACTGAGTATGTCTTGTTCTTGGTTTCTATGGTTCGATGCAGCGATGATGATGGACCAACGAGTAATGTTTTGAGTGAGCTTGTTTGGCACAACGCTGTTGTGAACAGTATTTCTGTGACCTTTATGGCGTGTCAGCTTAATGAAGGAGCCCAAAGTGACGCAGGTCTTAGATGCGCATCACTTTGATGAAACCCACAAACATGGGTGTGATGATGACAATTCAAGAAACATGTTCAGGGCGAATCTTGTATTCGAACCCACGATGATAGGTTCCTGGGTTGCAAAGTCGGCTAATATGCTGCAATTTACTGTGCAGTGTTGCTTCTCTTAGGCGGGCCAGAAACATCTCAGCATTGGTCTTAATCACAGATTCACTCTGATAAACACATTTCTGTCACTCATTATCATCGTAAGTTACGTGTTTAGGCAATATATGTGTCACATGAACATTGAATTGTTGCTCTTTTCTGTTTAACATTTTCCATGCAAAACCAGAAATTCCTTAGGGTATGTACCAGAAACAGTTTACAAACCATTTCAAAGATCAACTGGGGGAGGGTTTCTGTCAAACGTCATTGAAAACGTTGATTTATGTATATTGATGTTAAACCAATGGCCGATTGTTTTGCGTGTGTTTGCCATGACTATAAAAGTCATGACATAAACACTTTGGAACATGTCTCTTCTCCATGTCTTCTCCAACAAGTGAAAAAATATGTTCTCACATTCTACCCAACTTTACCTCAAAGTAAATCTCACATTTTGTATTCACAGAACTCCCCCAGTGCAACGTCAGCAGTGATGCAGACCCAACAGCCCTCAAGCCCAATACAAACCTGACACTGACAGTAGACATCAGAGAGTCCTTCTGTTCACAGGGAGCTGGCTTTTATCTTACTACAGGCAACGTCACGGAGATGTTGATGAAGTACAACGTCACTGACGTCAGCGATGTTATCACTTCCAGCACCTTCAGTGTGACACCAGCCCGACTCGGTGACGTCACAGTCAGCTATATGTGTGACGTCAGCAGATGGAATCTGAACTGTGATGGTGTTAGGAATCTGTCATTGGGTGAGTTCGACAGTGTCAGCTGGAGATGGCGAGTGAGTATGTCTTGTTCTTGATTTCTGTGCAACGATGCAGCGATGATGATGGACCAACGAGTAGGCAAACTAATTTTTTGAGTGAGCAAGTTTTGCATGACGCTGTTGTGAACAGTATTTCTGTGACCGTTATGGCGTGTCAGCTTGATGAAGGAGCCCAAAGTGACGCAGGTTTAGACGCTCATCACTTTGATGAAACCCACAAACATGAGTGTGATGATGACAATTCAAGAAACATGTTCAGGGCGAATCTTGTATTCGAACCCACGATGATAGGTGTCTTGATTTCCAAGTCGACTAAGATGCCGCAATTCGCTGTGCAGTGTTGCTTCTCTTAGGCGGGCCAGAAACATCTCAGCATTGGTCTTAATCACAGATTCACTCTGATTAACACATTTCTGTCACTCATTATCATCGTAAGTTACGTGTTTAGGCAATATATGTGACACATGAACATTGAATTGTTGCTCTTTTCTGTTTAACATTTTCCATGCAAAACCAGAAATTCCTTAGGGTATGTACCAGAAACAGTTTACAAACCATTTCAAAGATCAACTGGGAGAGGGTTTCTGTCAATTTATTTTTCACATCATCTAGGAAATTAATTAGTTGGGAGTGGCTTCGTATTTCAGATCAGTGGGCTTCACTAATTGGTCGCTATAACATACCTCACATCTAAATCGTTTGTCACAATGTGTAGAGTTTATCCTGCTAAATAAATGAATACACACAATAAATACACTGAATACGTTGATTTATGTGTATTGATGTCAATCCAATGGCCGATTGTTTTGCGTGTGTTTGCCATGACTATAAAAGTCATGACATAAACACTTTGGAACATATCTCTGCTCCATGTCTTCTCCAACAAGTGAAGTAATATATTCTCACATTGTACCCAACTTTACCTCAAAGTAAATCTCACATTGTTGTATTCACAGAACTCCCCCAGTGCAACGTCAGCAGTGATGCAGACCCAACAGCCCTCAAGCCCAATACAAACCTGACACTGACAGTAGACATCAGAGAGTCCTTCTGTTCACAGGGAGCTGGCTTTTATCTTACTACAGGCAACGTCACGGAGATGTTGATGAAGCACAACGTCACTGACGTCAGCGATGTTATCACTTCCAGCACCTTCAGTGTGACACCAGCCCGACTCGGTGACGTCACAGTCAGCTATACGTGTGACATCAGCAGATGGAATCTGAACTGTGATGGTGTTAGGAATCTGTCATTGGGTGAGTTCGACAGTGTCAGCTGGAGATGGCGAGTGAGTATGTCTTGTTCTTGATTTCTGTGCAACGATGCAGCGATGATGATGGACCAACGAGTAGGCAAACTAATTTTTTGAGTGAGCAAGTTTTGCATGACGCTGTTGTGAACAGTATTTCTGTGACCGTTATGGCGTGTCAGCTTGATGAAGGAGCCCAAAGTGACGCAGGTTTAGACGCTCATCACTTTGATGAAACCCACAAACATGAGTGTGATAATGACAATTCAAGAAACATGTTCAGGGCGAATCTTGTATTCGAACCCACGATGATAGGTGTCTTGATTTCCAAGTCGACTAAGATGCCGCAATTCGCTGTGCAGTGTTGCTTCTCTTAGGCGGGCCAGAAACATCTCAGCATTGGTCTTAATCACAGATTCACTCTGATTAACACATTTCTGTCACTCATTATCATCGTAAGTTACGTGTTTAGGCAATATATGTGACACATGAACATTGAATTGTTGCTCTTTTCTGTTTAACATTTTCCATGCAAAACCAGAAATTCCTTAGGGTATGTACCAGAAACAGTTTACAAACCATTTCAAAGATCAACTGGGGGAAGGTTTCTGTCAATTTATTTTCACATCATCTCGAATAATAAATAGTTGGGAGAGGCTTCGTATTTCAGATCAGTGGGCTTCGAAAATTGGTCGCTATGACATATCGTACATCTGAATCGTTTGTCGAAATGTGTAGAGTTTATACTGCTAAATAAATGAATACACACAATAAATACATTGAAAACGTTGATTTATGTATATTGATGTTAAACTAATGGCCGATCGTTTTGCGTATGTTTGCCATGACTATAAAAGTCATGACATAAACACTTTGGAACATGTCTCTTCTCCATGTCTTCTCCAACAAGTGAAGTAATATATTCTCACATTCTACCCAACTTTACCTCAAAGTAAATCTCACATTGTTGTATTCACAGAACTCCCCCAGTGCAACGTCAGCAGTGATGCAGACCCAACAGCCCTCCAGCCCAATACAAACCTCACACTGACAGTAGACATCAGAGAGTCCTTCTGTTCACAGGGAGCTGGCTTTTATCTTACTACAGGCAACGTCACGGAGATGTTGATGAAGCACAACGTCACTGACGTCAGCGATGTTATCACTTCCAGCACCTTCAGTGTGACACCATCCCGACTCGGTGACGTCACAGTCAGTTATACGTGTGACGTCAACAGATGGAATCTGAACTGTGATGGTGTTAGTAACCTATCATTGGGTGAGTAGGAAGGTGTGTTTGTGTATGTGTACGTTTGTGTGCATGTGTGCGTGCGGCGTCTTTTGCCAAAGGCACAATATTTAATGTTTAAAGATCGTTTTGATTACTTTACTCATAGTGGTACATCTTTATACTATTGTGATAAATACCCGGTCCATTCTTCACCATAGCCTCGTTTCGGAAGTCCCGTCACTATCTCCATCTTGTCACAGGCTTTCTCTCGCGTGTGAGTGTAATTCGACTGGGCGGCTATTTTGTACTTATAGACTGGAGATACGATACAATGAATAATTGAGGATGACTTTGAAGCGGGGCCATTATTTCGGGACATACCAAAGGTCCCTATGGCACTAGGACAAAAAACTAACAAAAGAGTGATGTTTCATTCAATGTTTAAGCATGTAGTCTCCAATCTGTACAGCTTTTTGCTGCGTTTTAATCTTATGTATTTTCCTCATTTGAGTTTAAATTCCCTATTTTAATTGTTGTGTAGATTGTTTTAATGGTTTAAAGTCCAATATGGATGCGACTGTATGCATTTCTGTCATAGACCAAGTCGTCCTTGTAAAACCTACGTGTTTCTACTGCACAAGTCACACAGAGTCAAGTCTCAACATACAGTGGGTATACCCCGGAAACACACTGTACAGCCTTACGTATGTTATCAACTATCGCCTCAATGACAAGGATGGCATTGATGACAGAACTATCACGATACCGACTGACAAGTCGGAAACAATATACACCACTACACTAACAGAGCTTCAGGAAGACAATCTGTACTACTTCCGGCTGGTTGTTGATGGCGGGTATTTAGGCCAAAGCGAGGCTGTCTCTACCACGTGCTTCACGAGACACTCAGAAGGTAGGAAATAAAATCATGCAATGGATGTCCGCTTATGTAATTGTAGCATAATAATATCGCTATTGGAATAATTACGATTGTATGAATACCTCAGAGAGAATAGGTCTCCAACGCCCCATTGTTGGCCAAAAGAGCAGCCTTAGAAATGTGCG